CTAAATCTTTAAAGTAGGTCGATACGTACAGTACACAGCACAACTGCATACATTTGAATATTAACACAGAGTTAACAGTGGAGTTGGCCAAAGTCACCCACGTGGGTCAGACACCACAGCAGAAGGTTGTGTATAAACTAATGATCTGAGTCATCAAGATTGGTGTGTGTGAGAGAGAGAGAGAGAGAGAGATTAGGGAGCACCTGAGGACATGGTTCTGGACCATGTGATGTGAGTTTCTGACAAGCAGGAAGACAAGTTTGGTGATAATTAGTGTTAATATGGAGATTAATCAAGATTAAAGCTCTGCTCCACTGCAGCAGGTCAGAGGTCATCAGCTGTGGAGGCCGCCTCCACATCCATCCTGAGAACAGACTGCAGCGATAATGCACGTGCTGGCTGGAGGCCACGGGTGTCCTCACAGCACCTCTCAGAGCTGGAGCCCGTCCACCTGCACTTAGAGCCGTCCGCAGAGGTCACGACCCTTCGACTCCATCTTAGCAGCAGTTATGGGGGGGAGAGGGACGGGGGGTTGGACAGCATCAGGCCTGAAGACAGGGCGCTGCAGCGGCTGTGACTTTTAAAATGAGCAGGAACGCCTCGTCGACAACACAATCAGGAGTACGATTAGCAGCGGGCACATTAGGAGTAAATTAAAAAAATCTAAAGTGAAAAAGTGGGTCACTCCAATCAGCCCTCCCTCCGTGTCTCTGTGAACACTTTCCTCCGTCTCCGTCTTTTCCCCCTGTGCCGTCGTCCTGCCCTTTAGTGTCAGCTCTCTGTTCTGGCATTTACCAGACAAATGCTAGTGTGTCACACCTTGTCACTCACACACACACACACATCCGTACAAGGCTAAATGCTGTGTGCGTCAGCAGGCCTGACAAATCAAAATTCAGCGCACACACACACACACACATGCAAACAAACCACACAAACACCAGGACACACACACATTCTGTAAAAACGTGCACAGCGCCACAGATGGAGGTGGTGAAAAAAGTGTCAATTAATAATTAATAAATATATTCTCCACAGCTACATATATACATATATATACATATATGTACATATATATGTGTATATATGTATATATATATATACATATATACACATATATATGTACATATATGTATATATATGTAAATATATATACATATATGTACATATATGTATATATACATATATACATATATATATATATACACACTGAGATACTTCAGTTGATGATAAAGCAGTTCCAGTACTGTGTATACTCTGAAAAGATTCTTGGAGGTTCAGTCAACTTTTTTCTTCCTTGTTGTTCTACAAGTCACTACTTAGTTTTTTTTTTTGGTTTTTTTTGCAGCTTAGAAGTTTAGTGTTTTCTATTCTGTGTCTATTTAAATATTTGATGGGGAAGTCCATGATCAGGACGGCAGCTCACGGCCGAGTTCTAGTTTTTCAGCTTCTTTAAAGTAAAGTCCCAGTTTGTGGATTGTAAAAAACTTCCTCTCTGAGCCGAAATCTACAGTTTTTATAAAGAGAGTGTGAAGCTACAGTACAGGGAATCACACATCAGCACGTTTACAATAAATACTCATTTCAAGGAGGCAGACTGAGACACGGGGTGGGGGGGTCAGAGAGTCAGAGACAGACGCCTGGATGAACAGTTTGTGTAAGTTTGTGCTTAGAGTCATTTCTGCCATAAACTATCCCTGAGAGCCAGACAGAGCTGTGGAGGCAGCCACTGTGTCAGAGGTGCAGCAGTGCAGCAGGACACAACTGTATCTGATGCTACACTTCACTACTCGCATTTCACAAAAGCTCACGGGGGGGGGGGGGCATCACTGAGCCGCTTTGTTTGGAGCACGGAGAAAACACGCACAGGCAGCACAATGAAGTCTACTGCAGCTGTGTGGGCCACAGCCCACTGATGTCCCACCTGGCCCACTTTCTCAAATTGAACCCTAACTCCTATAGGCCCACTTTCTCAAATTGAACCCTAACTCCTATAGTTCACCACAGCACACTGGTTAGTGGAAACCAGTGCTATCTTTGTGAGGCGTGTGTGTGTGTGTGTGTGTAGGTGTTTTGTATGTTCAGGGACACACACGCCACAGCCTCAGTGTTCAGGGTGTGTACGTGTGTTCGTGGTGTGGTTTCGTTTTAGAGCGGAACAGCAGGTAAATTGAGGTCAGGTGAAGTCAGAAGAGAAAGTCAGACACAGAGCGCCATTACACACACACACACACAACCACACACACGCGCACACACACACGCTTTAGTCTACGTCTCTAAACCTCAAAATGTGTCCTCACTCTGTGGGGACCTGAAAAATGTCCCCACAGACACTGACAGTGTGTCCCTCGCACCAGCGTCCAGCCTCAGCAGTAATCCCTGACCTAACCTGGCCTTAATCCTAATCCTAACTCCTAAATCCTAACCTCAAAACAGCCTTGTCCGTTGTTAGTGAGGGCCAACATTTGAGACGGTCTGAACACAGAGGAACCTGAAGCTCCAGTGTTTGGTAAACATCTCCACTGTGTGTACGTCGGCTGCTCCTCATTTAACTCAGCGATTCCTTTGCCTTTGACATATTTCTCACAAAATTATTCTCCCTGACAGTAAACACTTTTTTCACACTTTGGTCTTTCTGAGCTTATCGGCTGTGACAGGCAGAATTATTAGATTTTCTCTCCGCTTCATTTCTGCAGTCAAGACATCGCTTAGAGCTTTGAACTCATTTTCACTCATCGTTCTTTTTTTTTTTTTTTGCCTTTGACATATTTCTCGAGCGCCTCAGAAACTTGGGCAGGTTAACGCAGACAAATGAAGCACCGCCAGATTAGAGCTGGACGACTGACAACAGATGGATTATCTGGACATTAACTGTTCCAGTTAACCCACACACCACTGTGTTAATACGACTAGTCCCTTTCCTTCACATCGTAAAGGTCTTTCACCTACTTTAATTTAACTCCTGAAAAACTCTGTTCAACATCTGGGCCCAAAATATTCAAAAAATTCAAATGTAAATGCTGTTCAACATCTGGGCCCAAAGACGTTTGAATCAAAATATTCAAAAAATTCAAATGTAAATCAATCTGAAAGTTTACATTCCAGAATTTTAGTTTGTTTAAACCAAAGTCTTCAAAAAGGCGTCCGCGGCCCTTAGAAGGCCCACGGAGTTACTAGAAACGGGTCCAGGTTTTTTTTTTGGTTGATTTGACATTTTTATTTTATGATGAATAAATGCAGAGAGAAAAGAAGATTTTCTTTTTTAAAGCTAAATGATAGGTCAACGCATGTGATGCCGTGGTATTGAATCTAGTCATGATAGGTCAACGCAGATCATGTGATGCCGTGGTATTGAATCTAGTCTTTATTGTTATCTATGCACTGTCCTTGAATTCATCATTCTGATCCTTTTTTCCTGCAGGACAATAGTGGAGGAGTACAACGTTGACGTTGACATGTGTTTTCAATGCTGCAATATTATAGAGGAGCAAGTATTTACCAAACAGTCATGACTCCTCATCCATGTTGACCTTGGTCTCCATAGGAGAAGATGAGGTCAAAGGACAAGGATTTTTTTTTAACTCAAACAGAATTCCAAATGACTTCTAAAATTTCACTCCCCTTTGAAAGGAATGTCTGCAACAAAGACATAAAAGTTTGAAAAGTTTCACATCTGCAGAAATCTGAAGACAAAGGTTAATGAATCCATCTGGACCACAGCGACAGTGAATATGATGTACAGACATACACTCCCTGAGCCAATGTACAGAGCAACACGAGCGGGATGATGTAAAACCATGGTGTGATAATTAAATGTATTATGATAATGAATAGGCATTTGTTATCAATGCAGGGCGACCAGGCCACATGCTCTGTAATAAATAGAATCATAAAAATATAATCAGGCAGCATCTGCAGACCAGCATGTTTCAAAGCTGCATTCCTCTGCCACAAACTGACGTATCTCACTTATTAATTAAGCGTCTAATCAGAGTAAATCATCAGCTGGTGACGCACTGCTCTCCATATACACACCTTCAAATATGGCTTCCTGGCTGCTGACGGTGAGCATCACAACATCACACAACGTCAAAATGACATTATTAGAAAATTAACGTCATTGTTGCTGCTGCTGCTTATTATGTATTCGCACTGCCCTCTTGTGGCCGGGTAATATCTGCTATTTGATGACCTAGATTTGAACCCTGAACCCTCAGGGTGAAAAGACAACCCTCGTCCACTGAACCACACCCGTCCACTTTATTCAACAGTCCAACTCCTCTGCTGAAGTAATGAAGACATTTTCATCCTGCGCTGATGCATTAGAAATGGAAAGTTTGATGTTTAATTCCCACATATTCTTTTGTTTACCCCGTCACACTCTCTGCTCAGTGATAAACTCCTGATACAGAGTAATGGTAAGAACTGCACAGCAGAGTTTCACTGATTGAATGTGTGGGCTGAAAAAGTCCTAACAGCTCCACGATAAACACCGGGGAGAAAAGATGGAACGGAGATGCAGGAGGCGGCAAATGACACTTAAGTTTGGATCGGACAAATAAAAAACTCTACAGTGGCAATCATGGAGCCGGGCGGCGGCGGGGAGG